TTTCGAATTTTTTCAAATCAGAAGGAAGGAACGATATAGTTATCTAAATCAGCATAAGAGTTCAAAGTAAGCAATTTACACTGTAAAGCAAAATACATTTTGAGGCTAAAAAAAAATTTGACAATAAATAACTGGGTTCCTAATATGTTGGATATCTATAGCTTGGACGTTTCCTTTTTTTCACAATTTTTTCTAATCATAAATAGTCCAAAATATTTAGGATTTTAAACAAATCTGATTAGTAAATGCTTCACCCTCAAAAAATCAAACAATTATTTTGTAAATTAATAATGTTATTAAAAGGTGATCTTATGCTGATAAAACTATGCCACCAGAAATTCTAATATTTTTGTTTAATTAAATGAGCCCTAAAGCGATTTCGAATACGAGAATCATGTTCTAAAAACAATGCCTCTGATCTAAATGCCGATTATCAAGTGTCTAGCGAATTAATAAAGTTGTAAAAAAAATAGGCTTCAATATTTTGGATTAAAAAATTCGTGAAATGACCCATAATTTTGCAAGAAAAGATAAATTTGGCTTCCCATCAGTGGAAGATGAGATCGTTAGGGGCTATACAAGATAAAAGATAAAAGAGGACCAATTAAACACATATATTTTGATTATATTTATTCTGAAATTCTATAAACTGTGTTTAAATAAATCTTCAAAGTATAATTTATGGTTAGGGAAATTTTGAAAAAAAGAAGAGAGGCTCTCCCGCTACAGCCCAACATAATAGAAATCCATCTATCTTGTTTTTGAAAAAGAAAATGAGAACCTTGAGTTATTTATTATGTTGTTAAATTTAACATTGATACTTGATCAAATTCTAAGAAATTTTAAGGGTAATTAAGTTATACATACTATTTGATAAATATCGAATTATTAACGAGTGACACGTTCTTAGAATCAATTTTATAACGCGACGTTTTTTTTAGCTACTAAGTATAAAAAGGTATTATCTTATACTCGGGATTTGGGAATAACGATAAAATACATTTTATTTTAGTATTCAAATTTTTTACAGCTAATTAAAGACTGAAGAGTTGACAGGAATTCTATAATAATAATTATTATTATTCAGTGCCTTCACTATCTCTTGGCGTTATAGAGAATGCTGAAAAAATAAGTTTTCTTTAAGAAAAAAAATTTAGCTCAAAAAACTTTTTATTTTAAATAGAAAACAATTTAATTTCGACAATGGACAGCATTTAGCTCGCAAGCCAATGGCGTAGCTAGGAATTTACCTTAGAGGGAGTCCAAACATATAAAGGCATGGGGGCTTCGCCCACCCAGACTTCCCTTTAACGGGCCTTCGGCCCTTTTGCCCGGCCTTTGGCCGGGTTTATCTTAAAATCATATTTGTTTTTCTTATAATATAAAAGTCCTCGAATTATTGGTTATTTTAATTAGTTGTTAAACGGCTCGATTCGATTTTTATAAACAGCTAACTCAATATTTTAGCCAAAAAAATATTGCTCAAGCCTAGACATTTCACGAATAATGTCTAAACCATTGTATTATCCATGAGCAAAATTTTCAAGCTTGCATAATTTTCTGGCTAATATATTGAGTTAGCCATATCTGCTCAAATTGAGCCATCAACAACAATAATTTTAATTAAAATAACATTTCGACATAACTTTTATAGATATACGTTTCAATTAATTATAATTTTATAGAAAATCAATTTACGAATAAAAAGCGATTATTTAAAATATAAATATTCATGGTATTTATTTTATATAAAGTCCATTTTGAGTCTTTTAATCTAAAATAAAAATTTTTACTCTGGGGGGGGGTCCAAACCCAAAAAGCCCTCCCAGTAGCTACGCCACTGTTGCAAGCTGTCCCAATTTTTAACTTGCCCGATGTTTAAAAATTATTTTTTCACGCTCCCGCCCCATGTTTTTAGTATTTTTAAAATCAGTTATACCCTATGTTCACAGTTAGCGCAAATTCGCGGCGATGTATGCCAAAAATGATATAAAATTATTATATAAACTATATTCATTTATATACTTCACCTTGAATTCGCGCTAACAGTGAAAGTAGAGATATGCGGACATGAGCAGACTAAAAAACTCGCTCGTTTTACAATTTTTTAATTTATAATCAATTAATAGTTGGATAATAGCTCAACTCAAGGAATTCTCAAATGAAGGAATTTTTTAATTGGATGAGATTTTAAAATTAAACATGTATTTGAAGTAAGGAGTAGGATTAAAGGCTAGAGAGATATGGGTTGGGGATAATTAAGGGCATGAGAGTGGGCTAGGGTTACGATATATTAAAAAAGGTTTTTTAAAAATTTATTAATAACCCATCTGATAGGTCATGTGTATGTATATTAGACAAAATTTAAATAAATCAGCTGTTGTAATGACAATTTCTTTAAGTTGGACTAAAATATAATATTATGACTGCTTCGGTCATTTAAAAAAAAAGTATGATAGATTATGTATTCGAGGCAACAATGTTTTATCTATCTATTTATTTTTAATAAAGAACTTCAGGAGCCACAGGTCAAACGAAAGAAAAAGTTTCCAAAGGAAAAATTTGTAACTAAATTCTTTTGGTAATGCATCACGTGCAGGTTGGGACATCAATGACAATTTGTTAGAATTTTAAACTTATAAATAAAAAAAATTTCAATATTTTATTTAGATATATTCTATATTCATAATACAAATGATTTGCATTTATAATGTTATATTTGATTAATATACTCATTCATTTCAAAAATCGAGTTATTAAAAAGATGGACACTATAAAGGTAATAAATTTTTTCAATAATCGCTAGAATGGAGGAGTGACATACATATGTAATTTTACTTTAATAGAAGAGATGGGGGGGGGGAGGCGTCATTCTCGAAAAATAGGAACTAATTTACTAAATATCCAATATTCAATTTCTAGAACAATAGATTTTAATAAAATGATATAGGATTTTAGAAAATTTAATTATAAATAGGAAAAAAATGGTGTATTACAAAAAATAAATAGTTTGTACAATAAGATTTTATTTTGTTCTTTCTCAGTGTTTTTCATTTTGATTTGAAGATTCATTGTTTAGATAACAATATTTGATTTCCATTTATAAATACCCACCCACTCCCCTCCCCCATCCACCCGACCACCTCTTAAATTCACCAATGGAATGGATGTTAGGTTTAAAGCACAATTAATATATATTTTTTTTAAGTTATAAAAAATTTGTAGGATAAAAAATGAGATAGATGATTTAATTTAGCAGTTTGGTTACGGTTCAGTATGTAAAAAATTATAATGGTTACGGTTTGGTTATGGTTCTTAAGAAAAAATTTACAAAGGTTCGGTTCGGTTCAGCTAATTATAAAAGTTCATGGTTAGAAATCTTTTTTTTATAGAAGTAACACCATCGTCTAATTTATTTTTATTATAAGCATCTATGAATTATATATATAAAAAATATATAAGATTCAAAATAACTCATTTTTAAATATATTATAAGTAATATACTTTCTCATTTAAATGGATTCATATTTGTTTGTTGTGACGATAACACAAATTTTAGCCCCGAAAAGGCCCTTTCTACAGAAACTTGTGTTGCGGGAACCATCAGTACTCTAAGAGCAAGTTTATATAATTCTGATTTGATTCCTAAAATATAAAGACTGAACCGGTTTAATCTTTTTTATAAAGGTTCTTTTTACTCCTTCAAAAAATAATTATATCGGTTCGGTTACAGTTCTGATATTTATAACGGTTTATAATGGTTTAACGGTTCGTTACGGTTCACCCCGGGTCTCTGCCTTTTAGCCTTAACATAAATTTAATACTCGAAATATATATAGATCGGAATTTTAAAATTTATAAATACTAGGAACTTATACCTAAAAAGTATTATTTGTAATTCGATGTTCGATTTTGTTTGAATCGATTCGGATTTTACGATATGAATAACAAAATTATTCGATTAGAAAATTCGAATCAAGTACGAATAAGGGAAATATAATATATAGCGTATTAATTTTTTAATCTATTATTCGTGTGATTTAAAAATATTCAAAATTATTCGTAAATAATTAAAATTATGTAAATATTTAACATATTCCTTATGAAACTTTAATTTTTTAGAAACTTTATTAACCACATCTATAATTAGGTTTTTTTTTAAAAAAAAAAATTTGATAATCCATTTTTGATAATATTTTTAAAGAAATTTTAGAATCGAATATTGGAAGAATTAATCTAATAATATTTTAAATGGAATTTATTCTATTTAATTCGCATTCCTTCAGGTGTTACTAAATGGATCTCATAAGGTTAGAACCTGTGATTATTATTTTTGGTGAAGAACTCTTTTAAAATCAATTAAAAATTATACAAAAATTTAAAGTTATAGGATTAGTATTTTTTTGGAAAGAATGAGTTTTATATTGTTATCACATATTTATTACATATTTAATTAACTTCAATTTTTCTCTCCTTTTTTTTTGACACTTATAATATATTTTATATAGGAATTTGCAATTATGGTTTATATCATTTATATTATATAAATATACTCTATTGATTTTTTTTATATTTTTTATTAACTTTTATTAAAAGTTAAAAAAAAAAAAATTTACTATTGTAAATTTTATAATATTTTTGATATGTATGCAAAAATATTTACATATTCAATTTCCATAAAAATGTCATGAAAAAAAAAACATAAAATTTATAGGACAACAATTTACACTGGACTATATATATCATGAGTTAATTAGCTAATAGATATATATATTTTTTTTATAAAAATATAAGTATGAACAATCGGGTCGCTACTTTGTTGTAAAAATAAATAAAATACAAAAATTTTATTTCAAAATTGGGAAGTATATATAAATATCATAACCATTATATAATATTTAATATGTCATAAGTTTTTCATGACTATTTTTTCTACTTTTTCATAATAAGTAATTATGTTAGAATAATAACTCTTGGATAAACAATTAGCGTAATAATTAATGGGAACTTTGCCCGTCATTAATTCGAGTGAATTTCGTAATAAAAAACTTAATGATTATCATCTTTATGAGCAGTTGAATGATGAATTTCGCCAAAAGGCTACTTTGTTGGATACAAATTGCAACAAAAAATATAGTGGTGATTTTAATTTAATTCCCAACAACCATCATTTTCATAGTATACCTAAAAAACATAAATACGAATTTTTTAGCAGTATCAACAAAAATTTTAGCAAATCCTCGTTTACCATTGCCAATGATTGTTGCAACAGAATAAAAAAGAGTAATAGTACCTCGCCCCACAGGATCAAAGAAAATATTCCTTCTTGGAAAATGACCAATCAAAAATGGGAAAGCGGTGACATCATACCTAAGAACGCTACCCGCCATATAATTCAAAAATTTGAAGAAGAGAGCGTAAAGGCTAAAGTACAAAATGGATCTAAAATTCCTCCTACCTATTCGAAAGGCGATATTAATCCTAATATATCAAAAATCATTTCCACCATAGTAAGTAAAAACCAATATTTTTATAATAATAATAGGGATAGCAATAATGATAAAGACAACAATGTCTCCTCCCCGAACGGTGATATCAGGGCAAATAGTACGCTTACCCGATTAAAGGGGAAAAAACCTAGTTATGGCGAAGATGACACTCATAAATCGAATTCGAAGAGACTATTATTCAGCAGCAAGGGAACAGTACGGGGTATACGCAGTAAGGTATACGAGATAGTCAGAAATTATATCGATACGAATATCGCATTAAAAGTAGGCCTATAATTATGTCCTAAATAAATATTTTATTATCTATTTTCTTCTTTTTAAATTTTCTATGGGGAGAGCAAGTGGTTAGAAGGTTATAGGCTTCTTTAGAAGAGTTAATTTTTTTAAAAATACTTCTTCAAATTATCTTTTATCATTTTTGATCAAATATTCTTAAAAATCTTATATCTCTTTTTATTAGTAAAGTGTCGTATTCACCCTTTGAAATATCGTGATACGATAAATTTAATTAGGGAAAGTATATTTCAAAACAAAAAATAAAAATTAAGTCTACAATATGATATGAGTAACATTTACAGAGAGAATTTCTTTTACTTATACTATTATATAAATGGTATAATAAATAAAATTAAATTAAATACAAATCAATATAACAAGTTGATTTAAATTTTTGATTTGAATTTTTGAATAGAAAAAATTATTGAACGAAAAGGTTACCATATACACCACAACCTGCACAGCCCTCAGGGAGACATATACAAGATCCGAAAATGCCAAAACATTACTGAATGCTATGAATGTAAAATGATTCCTAATTTCGTATTATTATAATTATTTCTGGCGCATCCTTCTTTACTATATAGCTATAATTACCATAAAAATATTGTAAAGGTAAAATATGAAGAAAAAGATTGTTATATAGACTCGAAATATACCCAAGAAGTCAAAATGTTATTTCCGACCCATGATTTACCTCAATTACCCCAAATATTCATAAATACTCAACATTTAGGGGTAATATACTTTTTAATTCTAATATGTTATATTGAGATATTAAATTTATTATTCGAAATATCTCAATTTTAAATCATTTAATAAGAGCAAAATTTTATAGCTAAGAAACCTTATTTGATCATAAATGCATTTCATCATGTACAGAGTACCCAAAATGTGGCTTTCATGACAATTTTGCCTGGAACAGTTGCAACACTTTAAAATTATATCCACATTTTATATAGATTTTTCATATAAATTAAAAAAATACACAAAATTTATGGCGAAAATTGTCTGTATTTTATAGGGTAGGTAGTCTAGACATGGTAAGCATTTCTCTATAAAATCCTATCTAAAAATTTTTTAATCGATTTAGCCATTCCTTAATTTTTAAAATTATTTGGCAGCATTTCTTATTGAAACAGTTCGGTATAGTCAAATAGTATATATATATACATTCTCTATTAATGATTAAATTCATTATTACTGCGTATATAAAATTTTACCTTTCACCATATTATTTACATATAAATATTTAATGAACATACTTACTTAACTAAGCGATAAAAACGTTAAACTATTAAATTTACCTTTTAGATTATTATCAATTTAAACGTTTACGAATATTTTTTAATGTTTATGTCAAAAATAAAAACTTAGATGAAGATAAATAATATATGTACCCAATTAAAAATAATTAATATATACAAAAAAAAACTATAAATTATTGAAATTGTAGTGTATAAGGTATGAGATGATTGTAACAGATTAACTCCCCTTGAAAATTTAAATTTTAAACCTTTGCTTTAAATGATAGAATTCCAGGGGATTGCGCAGTAGAATATTTAATTTCTTTGCGATAATATAAAACAGAATTAGACCTTTAGGAAGACCTCTGGTGCTAGATATAACTTGATAAGAGATAATCACAAGGTAGATCTGAGCATTTATTTATTTTGATCATTTCATGCTTATGAAAATGGTTTGAGGTAAGAATAATATCGGAAAAATCTCATTGAATCTACGCGATAGTTAGACATATATAGATAGTAAATGGTTGAACGTCTTTCCACAACAACCTAATATTTTAAAAACGCGAGACCCTGATGACTCAAATAATCTACTACAAATCCCCAACTCCTGCAAGAGTTCTATGATACCATATAACCTAAAGGAATTCTAACAGCTCCATTGAACAATGCATGGCAATGGAAAAGAAGCTACTGTTAAGGAGCATAATTCGTTCTCATTTTATAAGTTTAATAGGCTTGTAGTTGAAGGTCGGGTATTAACTCTTGAGGGTATGTGCTCATGGATTCTTTACTAAAAGGCTAATCAAAATCTTTGGGCAGGAATGAAAGGTATTTGCGCATTTAAGAGGGTCTCATTTGACCACGCTTTGATGGCAATGTCGAGTGGGCTATCAGGCAATTTGATTAACACGAAGATCATTGATGAAAAATTTAAGCCCTATGAAGTAAAAGTAAGTTGAAATGATACTTTATGAGAGGTAAAAATATATATCTAAATTTTTTCTTTTAGAATATATTAAATTTTCCCGCTTTCATTTTTTTCCTATAAATTTTAAGTTAGCCGAAATTTGAAAGGAGTTTTTGATTCGTCATAATTCTAAAAATGGCCCTCAATGTTTTTGAAAACGCTTAATAATATAAGTGTAATTATGAAAAAATCAATTGAGCTTATCAACTTTATTTAATGACGCTATTGAGGGTTTTAAGGAGATGAACGGGAGGAACAGGTGATTTGATAATAACTTAATTAAAATGCAAAATATCTGATAGTTATAAAAGGGACCAAAAATCTGATAATATAGTAGAACTATATGTTCTATATAAGTTATGATTAGTTGATATACCTATAAATTTAGAGTTGAAATTAATCCTAAGCCAGGTCCGGTTGGGATTTTTTTAAAAAAGTCTCCATTTAAAGCCAGATTGGCATTTCATTTTACATCATCTTAAATAACTACGGAGATTGGTTTTGGTTTATTAATTTTACCTCGGACCGAAGTTTTAAAATAAATTTACCACCCATGAAGAGCGAGTTCACTAATTTTAATAAAGTCGTTGAATTAAAATTAAAAATAGTACCAAGGAGTATACAATCTCATTTTATATTGTTATTTGTTTTATGAAAATTATCATTCAAATTAATAATATTTTATACAAATATAATCTGGTCATGTCCTGGCCCGACTTATTACAAAAGTGGGCTGTTAAAGTTAACATATTCTATATAAATAATATATTTGATAATAGTATAGGATTTAGCCTAAATATGGCCAGTCAACATCAGGTTTTCTAAATTGATTTTTCGTGGTAGCTGAAGAGATAGCTTGATATAAAAATTTGAGTGATAAAGATTTGGAAAGAGGAGGATAAGGGTGAACTGTGTCTATAATCCAACTTCCCGCATTTTTTCTTCCACTTAAAAATCGTATGCGTGAATTCTTTATATATATTTTAATATAAAAAGGGTTACAAAGAGCTCGAAGAACTTAACGAAGCCGGTATATTAGGTGAAATATTAGAAAAGTACAAAATGGGAATTCTAAAACCTCATTGCTTGAGTTGTGGCGATTTGAACTATGTTATGTGTCCAAAGTGTCATGGGGGAAAACGTTCCGCAATTTTCAACTCATTCTCCCAAATTCCGCTAAAGTGTGTTCATTGTGAAGAAACGGGTCTTATAAGATGTCAAAATTGTAGTTAATAAATTGTATAAATATACGCCGATTATAACGAAGAGATTTGCAGCTATGTATAATATGAAACGTATATAATTTTTAATTTTTTTTCTAAAATGCAATTTTATAAATTATGTCCGACATCAATAAATTCAAAAGTCAAATTAAACCAATACATTATGCCATCATATTTAGATATTAACAATTTATTATCAAATATTTAAGAAATTTACAAATGAACCAAAATTCGAATATATTCTAAAATAAAGAATGATCATTTTTTAAAAAAAGTAAAAAATAATTCCCATCCAACGGCTGAATATGGAGTGTTAATAACTATGGGGATGTAAATGGTATGGTATTTTAAAGGTCGGTGCTTTATTGTAATTTTAGTGTGCGTTATAGCTACTACTAATTAACTCGATTTTACTGAAAAACCCAATCAAATGTCTCGTGCTAAGAAAACGTCGAAGAATGTTGTTTGAGGTAATATGGAGCCAGCAATCAATATATTTTTTAAGGGTGACGCCATCAGAATCCAAGAAGTGTAATATTAAAAGTTGTTAGGCCTAAATTAGAACTTGGATAATTATTTGAAGCTACTTTTATCTTTTAATTGTCTGTTCGATAAAACTCAAAGGAATAATAAATTAATAGAATATACCAATTTATTGGTAAGACTAGTTTCCCTGAATAAATAAATAAAATTTATATCCCATTATATACGACCCCACCTCCGACTTGACAAATAATTGGGAATCAAGTTATACAAAAAGTATGAAAACCCAGACAGGGCCACTTGTACAAATATTTACAAATATTAATAATGAGCCGGGTTGACACGTGCAATATATAGTGATAATCATTTACCTTAGATATCTGTCACCCGCTAAAAATCTGAACTGGATCTGTCAAATCCATAAAAAGTTCTAAGACGCAATTGTATTGAAAATTAAATAAAATCGAAACTAATTTCAAAACCTCTCTTGATTTTTGTCAAACCACCTAGATCGTAAGATTCCCTAAATTTTTAATATTATAATTTTCAACTTATTATCTCTAAATATTACTCATTTACATTTTTATGATGATGCATTTTTGATATCTATATCTAATATGGGACTACAAATGGGTCTCTCTATACCCCTCAAAATTAAATATCAATCCACTAATTCAGGCAGAAACTAAAAAGTTAAACAAATACAAAAATATTAACAACTTCATAATCACTCCAATTGTGACTTCCCCAAATGGTCATTTTTCGTCATTAACATATATGTTTTTAAAAAGTCTAGGTGATAAAATAGGGCTTTTTATTAAAGAAGCCAAGAAATTTTTACATATGCACCAAAAGATTCAAATAATTTTAATTTAATATTATATTGATATAAACCAAATAAATATTAAAAAATGAAGGCTCTTATATCTCTCATCTGGAACTATTTAATACATCAACCATTTTATAAATAATTTTTGTCTCTGATATCTGTATTGCTGCGCATTTGTAATTATATCATATCATTAATAAATTAATTTTTTTGTGAAGTGTCTATATTACTTTTTCATTTAGTATTTTGTTTAGATTGTTTTTAATATATAGTTAATCATTTTGTAATTTATTTTCAAATATTATTAATTAGAATCAAATAATTTGCTTTTAAATTCAAAAATAAATATCAAAACTTTAATGCTCGAACTGGCCTATTAAAATTTTACGAAAAATTTGAGATTTGCGAGGTACTGCCTACGATTCAGTTTATAAATTGTCCGACCCGGCCCGAAAATTTTTATGCACATATTGCCCGGCTCGGCTCATAATATGCAATTTCTTAAATTATCGGTTATGACCCGGTTTCAATTTTTTTAAAAAATTTTTCCTTTGTAGATCTCTATTTAAGAGAACATAAAATTTTACGATGAGAGGAAAGAGGAATTACCCAATTTAAAACTCCTTGGTTACGCGCATATTTTAAATAATTGCTATATTGCAAAATTTTAAAATATATCCAAAGGAAGATTCCTTAAAAAATAAGTAAATTTTTTAAATAAATGAAATAAAAAAAATAAGTTTTCTTTAATTAAATGTCAACAAAATAGGGAAGTTCCGCTTATCTTAATTATAATTTTATAATTTAATGTATCATAAAAATTATTTAGAAATATATAAAATAATTTGAAATAGTTGGCATTAATGATGATTCGCGTGATTTTTTATGAATATACCCTTATTTAGTTTACTCACAATTTAATAAAATGTTTCAAATCACTTATAAGCACTAAGAAGAAATAATTTTAAATATAATTGTATGACCTTGAAGTTAAATATCATTACTGGTTGCAATTGAGTCGTCAGATGCTAGTATATAAAATTTAAAAGGGACTCATTTTAAAAAATATTATAAAAATAAAATGGGAATTTAAATAATGTAAATTAATTGATAGCTAAAATATATAATATTTTGGCAAAAATAGAGCGTTTATATTATATATTTGACAATATTATTTAAAATATTATAAAGTATAAACATTTTTAAAAAAGTCACATTCAGGAAATTTCTTTATGTTTAACATCCTGGATTCTTTAGACATTAATTATCTGTCACTTATTTCCATTCTCATTTTGGTATCATTAATTATTTACGGTTTAATTCCAGTGATAAAACTATTCCGTTGCGGCTATAACCACCCCTTTCCCTTACCATTCTTTGGTACCATCATATGGGTATATTTTAAGGGCTATCAAAAATGCTACATAGACTGGAACCGTAAATATGGACAATTTTATGCCGTTGCTCAAGGCCAAACTTTTGTTTTGATGGTAAGCAATCCTGATTACCTCAAGGACATTTTGGTAAAAAGTTTTTCCAAATTTTCTAACCGGAGATTTTTTGAAATCTCTAATAAATTAATCCGTAAATCAATTTTCATGACTGAAGACGAAGAATGGCGCTTGTTAAGGAAGCTCATATTACCTACTTTTACCTCTCACAAAATGAAATTCAATATATTTCCGCTAATTCTTAGATGTGCCTCTCAAATGGTCGGTCACTTAAAAAACTCGATAAATGGCGATCTAAATTCCATCCAAAGCAATAAGAATTATGATGATAAAGAAACTACAATCGTCCAAACCAAAGACATTTTTGGTTGTTACACTATGGATGTGATCGCTTCTACCTCTTTTGGATTGGATCTAGATTCTCAGAAAGAAAATAATCATGCTTTTGTCAGGTATTTCGAATCTATATATTTAAATTATGTTTAGGCGAATCTGGTTGGGAATTTTCGTTGCATATTTTTAATAAATAATAAAAATTTGATTTTTAAATTGCTTGGAGTAGAAAAGATTTTTAATTTATCAGTACCCTAAGAGCTAATTGAATCATATCTATTTGAGTCAGTTAAATAATTATATATAATATCATATAGCTTTTATATTATTATAAAATTTTTATAGTAAATACAATAGATCTCAAAATAAATAAATGAAAATGTTAATTAATCGTGTAAGAGACTTTAGAAAATGGATTGGACGCACAGGGCAGTTTTGTTAAACAGCTCGATTCGGCTTAAAAACGGCTAACTCATTAAGTTAGTCAGAAAAATATTACCTAAGGCTCGAGATTTTGCCAATAAATGTTCAAATCTTTGATCACCAAAATTTTCAAGCTTGGGTTATATCTTTCTAGATATAATTTTACAGGTAAATATTTATGCCTATAAGGGTATTTAAATTATGATCTTTATTTTAATATCTAGTGATTTTCACGGTTTTACCGACTACCTGATTTTCCCTATAATATTTATTGAATTATACAAATATAATAATCAATGAATTTTATATTTTTCAAATGTTAATTCATATGTTAATGGCGAATACCGAAATAAATCGTAACAAAAAAAATAGGGATAAAATGTATAACAAAATCTAATGAAAAATAGAAATATAAATTAGTGGAAAAAGCATCTGTAGGAATAAAAGGCATCGCAACATAAATCTTTAAATAAAATAAAATTACTAAGGGTAATATTTAATTGTAAAATTAATCGAGTCACAATAATTTAGTTTTCGTATAAAAATTATTCTATTGTAGAATATCTATCATGTCACAAGATCTAAGGAAAGTTTGCTTTCCATCATATACCGCTTATATTAAAGATAAATCAAACTTTGTAATAGCAATTTGCTATTGCTAATATATGAAAAATTTAAAAACTTAAAATAAATATGCACAAATTTTTATTAAAAAAAAGAAATATAAAAAAGGTTTTCGATTTTGATATAACGAAACCAATACTTGCCATGGTAGCAGTTTTTCCATTCATAATACCTATATTGAATTACTTCGAAATATCGTCCATTGAAAATGCTCCAATGCAGTTCTTTGCTGACATCGTTGAAAGTACCATAGAGGAGCGGAGAAAGTTAAATATTAAAAGGTAGGATACTCTGTAATAATTAATTATTAAATTACAATATCTAATAAAATGCAATTTATTTAAAATGAAGTCCTAGATATTTTAAATTTTTATAGGTAAGAAAATGTATCTTAATTTTTTTTGTATCTTGACTACAAATTTATTTATTCCAACAAGATCCAAGTAGACTAAAGATTTTGAGCCCACATATTATAGGTTATGAATAAATTTTATTTTCCATTTATATTTGTCCTGTAAAAAATAATCTAATATGTGATAATATATTCTGATAGTTTATTGACTTCAATATATGATTTAGAAATGATTATTTGCAAATGCTCATGGACTCTCATGATATTTACAATTTAAATCAATCTAACGCAAACAGTAGCAATTATGGATGTAAAAAGAATATCAATAAAATTTCGAACGATATGATGACTATAAATGAAGAGGATAGCATTGAAACCAAAAAGGTTGGAAATCAGAATATATCTATTGGAATTTCTAAAGATGTGGTCAATTCTAACGCATTACTGTTTTTCATAGCAGGGTATGAGTCAACAGCAAATGCTCTATGTTGGATAGCTCACACTTTAGCCTCTCATCTTGAGATTCAAGAGACCTTAAGGCAAGAAATAAAACTAAAGATTAGTCAAAAATGTAATTAAATTTAATTTATGGGTAAATATACAATATATATTTATTTTATTGCTTTGGCAAAACAGATTTAAATTTTATTAGCCTTAATATTTTTTAAATAAATTTAATTTATCATCTTTATAATTCTTGAAATTTGTTGAGTGGTAGGGAAATTAAGTGTTTCGGAGTTTTATAATTGTTTATCTAATAACTACATATAGATTGATAGACTTAGTGATTAGGAATGTTAAATATAATTGATTTCTTTGTAACATATTTAATTTTTAAAATCAAACATATTAAATACCTGAAAATAGATAAAAGCTTTAGCCCCAATCTCTTAAATTATGATGATATTATGGGCCTAAGCTATATGGATCAGGTCATTAAAGAGGTTTTAAGGTTACATCCTTCACTTACATTTTTTGATAGAGTGACATCTGAAGATTGTTATTTGGAAGACAAATTAATCAAAAAGGGTACTATCATTGAAGTGCCTGTTTATGCATTGCACCGAGATGAAAATATATGGACATTGCCCAACAAATTTGATCCGGATAGATTTGATCCAAAGAATTCGTGAGTTATAACATATGTTAATTATTTAAAAAATATGATGTTGTAATTTTTAAATTAAAATAAATATAATATGAGTACTGGGGTCAAGTCGAAGATTTTTACAAAATCGGCTATAGCTCCTGGTTTTTTTTAGATAATATAAAAAATAATATATGATTTTATACCTAAAACATAAAGGTGCCATATAAAAAAATTTAAGAATATAATCATTTATTCTAAATTGTATTTTTTGTAAAAGTGAAACTTTTGTCCAACACGCCCTAATAGCGGGGTGAGGTAAGCCACTTCAAGGGGCTTCCTAAACCATTGGTTTTTTTAGGCTATATTGAAATGCATTTTTATTTATTAATAATGATACGTAAGAAATAATTTAATTGTTTTATTGTTCAAAATATCATAATATTTATAAATAGAAGCTAATTATATATAAAAATTGAAATTTTAATTTAATAAACATTTTGGACATAAAAAAAAAGAATTTTAAGCAATGATTTCTTAGCATAAATCCTAAATACCAATCATAGAACAGCCATAAAATTTCTTTTACAATTGAAATTTTTTTCATTATTAACTGCCATACGTGTATGGTTTAGCGAGCCCCGCTAGCTCTAAATTGACATATTATGATTGAAATAATATATAGATATAATAAAAACTCATAAAACTTTCCAAAATTATAGAAGAGGGTTTTTAAGCTATAAAATATAATTTGCATATAAATGATTATATATTTTAATGAAAATTAAAATTCTGTCATGTAAAAATCTTTTGAAAATTTCAAAATTTTATTTCTTTAATAAAATTTTTAATAATTAAATATTTCAAAAAATATTTTTGTCTTAGATGTAAACTATTAATAACTATATTAGGATGAAATTTTAAGCTTCTGGTGTATTTAAAGATTAAATGGTTTGTCAACCCCCGGGGTTTACCTAACCCCAATCTCCCATAATAATTATCACTTGTTATATGGTTACTGTCTCTTAATATTGTATACCATAAAACTGTCTTAGGTCCATGGGAAAGATTATAACAACGGAGACCTGTGAACGTTGCGAGTTTTTAAGATATCATACATCTTTTTATTTGTGTAGTATAAAGTTTTCAACCCCCCCCCCCTCTCCCTCTATTTAATGGGTATAAAGCACTTTGAGAAAGAAAAATACCGCATTGAACAATATACTACCTTCTAGAATCACGATACTAAAACTAATATTTATAAAAATCTCCCGCGAATTTCTATTCATTCAATTCTAATTGGATATATTAAGTTAGTTCCTTCAGATTTATTTATCGTGATATTATATTTCGCAGTCGCTTTTCATTTATCTCTAAATAATATGCTATTATATTATTTTTTTGTCATTTCGCTCCTTATTGAATATGCGTAATTTTCTAATTTTTATTCATTCACTTCACAAATCATATTATGCTGACATGAGTCTTTTTGGTTTTAGCTAACACAGTTCTGACCATTATAGTTACTGTTTTATAACTTAATGTTATCTCTTTATATTTACTTATTCATTTTTATATTTATATGTTATACACAGCGTTTGCATGACAAGATATTTAGTGAATGTAACCTCCTCATAAAGATATGCCTACCCCTTAGAAAGTTTTCGCAGCATTTGCAGCCGATATTCTCACATTATTATTTCATCTTTTTAATGATAATTGTACTCCCTTCAAAATTTAAAAATTGAACTTAGGTGATAACTCTTCTAATACCAACAATCAAAATATTGTATATGTAAAAGAGTTATTCAATTAAAACTCCCTCATTTACAATGAATGCAATATTTTACAATGTTGTGCAGATTTAATTTTTCCATATTTTTTTTGTAAATAAAATTATTTAACTTGTAAAAATTGATAAGAATGTATAAATATGTTATTTTAGCAACTTTTTGCAAGTCAAATAATTTTATTTTCAAATAAATTAAAAAATATGGAAATTTCCAATAAATCTGGTCAACATTATAGTATATTGTTTGCTACGAATATGAGTTTACTGATAGAATTTAATGTTCTTAAATTACATTTAAAAGGATAAAAAATGATATAGAAATAGTTTTATTTAAATAATGTCTATGATTGTCATATATAGATTTGGTTGATTAATAATATTAGTAATATAATAGGTTTATAATAAAAGTATTAATTACGTCAATACACTTTGCCCTATTTCATCTGAAAATTAAATAGATAACCCCCCCCCCCCCCTCATTAAATTTATTCTACCAGGTCTACCATCCTTAAATTCTACCCCCTACCCTCCTCAAAAAAAATTTGTATACAAACTGTTCCTATCCCCTTCCTATCATGTAGAGGCTGGTTATTCACAAATCTGTCCTTCATGTCTAAAATTAGTACATATTAGATATATAATTTTTTTTCAACATGGTAGACCAGATTAATAAGATTTCTACATTCTAGCTGTGCTAACGTGTCCCTTTTCAGTTAGTCGATTATGCTCCCATCTTAGTAACTCCTCTTCGCATTTCAAATTCCTGCTTCTCAGAAATTTCTCCCGACTTGAGGCTAAATTGCTAGTTTCTAAATCTAAGGCTGATATTGTATATCGTTAATATTGCTAAACCATTGGTGTAAATTCTATTTTTATACATATAACATCTTCCTGAGACTCTTAAAAACTTTGCCATATCTAACTAACTCAGCAAATTAATAATGGCGCTTCCATTATTGCTCCTTACCTTCAAGAAAATAAGAGGCCCGCGATCTTCATAATAAAAACCTTCATCATTTGAGTTGAAGGCAAATTGGGTTTCCTTGAAAATAGATGATCTTAACATAAAAGATTCAAAATATCCATTCTAGACTTCCTAGCTGAGCCTTCCCACGATATGTATATCAGGTTCTGTCAAGTTACAACTTTATACCATTTGTTTAACCTCACTCCATATTGCCTTTCAATTCATCCCTGAAATAATGAGGAGCTATTCTTTCCTTTTTTTGAGATTCAGCCCTTGGATTTGATGGCATCCGTCTCATATTCCCTTAGAAAATCGCTTCTCCCTTAATATTCATCATATTCTCACTAAACTACTAATCATTGCAATAAAATTTTAAAAAGTGAAGTATGAAGCTTCGTTTCTTCAGTTCTTTTTTTGTGTATTAGGCTAATTACTCCTCAGACACCAAATGATGATATTCGACCCATTAGAATAGGTTCTACCTTTCAACGCCTAATTGCTAAAATTGGAATAAAAAATGAAGCATCTTGTAGTTACCATCTGTAACAATACTCTGCAATTTGATATTTATATGATTTCACCTATGGAGAACATCCAACAGAGTTTGGATCTATTTTTCTTTGGTATTAATGACATCGATATATTAATTTCACATGTTTTTCCTTGCACGCCTGGTATATCGATGATCGTTCATCGTTGAATTCAATACCTTATCATTAAAGGTGTGAAGTTAATTATAGAGTAACTGCCATTGAACTCTATCAACCCTGAAAAATCCGTCAGGTCAATTCAACCTAAAACACCACTTCAAATTATTATTCAGGATGAACTAAATCATTTAAGATTCCATATTGGTGGTAAGACAAAAATTTCTTCCTACCTACATATTGAGATCGGTTAAATTCGGTTCAATTTAGAACCTCCTCCAAATATTTTTAGATCTGATGGGAAACGACCAGATGAGAATCTACAAATTCCTTGGAAGAGGGGCCAATTCCTGGTTTTGTATTATTTATGCATTGATCCATTAGCTCCCTACAATCAAACTCCGAACATCATTGAAAAAAGAAACAATTGAAAATTGCGAAATATTTATAAATTTTTCGAGACTACATATTCCCGATAATTTTCACTACCTATACCCCCTTTATTCGTAATTAAGGATGGCGATAACTTCTTCTTGAGGGAAAAATAACCGATGCTGTTCACAAGGCCAATTACACTTGTTTCATGGGTAGCCTCATCTCACATATTTATTTTTTCTGTTTATGTGATGAATATTTAATTTTCTCAACATTATCAAAATAAATTAATATATAATAATCAAAATATTTTTATATAATTTTTAAGGTTTTATTTTTTCCTAATAAAATGCATAATTTTTATATAGTATAATTCTTGTTTTGTTGTATCAGAATCAGAGTGTCTCTACATGAGGTTTTAACTCTAAATTTAATAAAAATCCATATCTGTATTCATTTTTTTAATTAAACTTTTATTTCTATAACCACAGGGCAACAGACCTAATTGGATAAGAGGTCTGTAGGGCACTCATCTTTTGAATTATTTACTTCGTTGTTTTGAATAAGCAAAATCCGAAAATAAATTATTATTATAAATAATACATAATTTTTAAAAGGACTAAGGAACATCAATATAGCTATTTGCCCTTCGGTATTGGTCCTAGAAATTGTATTGGTTTAGGTTTTGCAATGCTGGAGATCAAAGTTGGCCTAACATTAATTCTAGGGTCGAACATACAATTCGTTATAGCACCTGGAGACGTTAATTCCGATATAACTCCCGACAACACAAAATTTAAAAAAACTATTGTAAACTTTCCTGAAAATGGAATTAAAGTGGGAATAAGAGACAAGGAATAAAAATGATTTATATAATCTTACCTTTTTGTAAGCTAAATATTTCGATTTTTTATAGATTTAATATAAAAATTGTCAACATTTGAAAACAAATTATAACATCATCACATTTTTAATAACTTGATTATTTATTTCGAATTTACAAATTTTGCTTATTTTAGATTTATAAGTAAACTTTTATTTATCTTTTTACGCTAATTTTTTTCACTATTAAAAATCTTAGAACCGTATTAAGTTATAATAATATATTATTAATACCAGGATTTCTAGGATATATTCGCACTAGTAATTTCCTTGTCCAACGATGTAGGTTTAATGTATTTTGCATAAATTATATAAATAAGTTTTTTTTTATTTATCATATACAAAAAACCTAGTGAGTTATAACCTACCGTATAGATCTGGACTTGTATTTAGGAATAATAAAGTTTTATTTCTGAAGCCATCAGGTTGTTCTGAGAAAAAAAAATTAAATATTTTTATTGGCTAGTATCAGATCTTAAAAAAACAATAAAATAGATATTAAGATGCCTTCTTACGTATTCTATAATTTATTAATTGTTTAAAATTAAATCATATATGTATTTAGACTCAGATTTCAGGTCTGAACACTTAGATTGTGTTTACAACATGAGTTTTATATGCCTGGATAGTTTTATCGATTTTTTGAGATTACCTCCGATCTTTTATCTGGATTGAACCGAAGGATTATAATTTATAGGGCAAATTTATTCAAAAGGAACTGATTTAAGTATCTGTATATTTTTTGCATCGAGAATTGAATATTTTCGCTTAGTAAATTTTTCCTTTATAGATTTGACACCAAAGATTTGTACGTTCAAATCGATAATATTTTATATAATTTTACCAAATACAATGTATAAGTATTATCTATAAATGGAAATTAGTAATATAATATATTAAATTAAACCCTCCTCGCGAGGAAAAGGCAATATGGGTCACTAATAAGATTTTTAGTGTGAATCGTTAATCAACAGCTGGATCAACAATTTAATTTTAAGTTTTTCGGTTATGGTCCAAGAAACTGTATAAGCTTACATTTTGCATTACTGGAAATTAAAATTGTTCATACCTTGAAATTGAGTTTCAAAATAAAATTGATGCCATTACCTTATGAATGATGAATATTTATATTTAACAATAAACCTAATTTAATTAAAATATGAAATTTTTTAACAAAGATGGAATCAAAGTAGGTATAAGATACCTTTCATGATGTTCCTGGAGAATTTATATAATATTTACCAAAGTCTTTGATTAATAATTTCTCATTTTAAATCATTTACCGAGGCTATTTAAAAATTTTTTTAAATCTTATTCAACCAAGAATGTATTTTAACATTTGTATAATAACCACTCTATGTAATATTACACACAATTTTCCCACAAACCTTTTATGTATTTTTTAATTTATATAAAAAATGAATATAAAAATAATTAATAATAGAGAATAGTCATAAATTTATGGTAAAGGTTTCTGAAGTGTGGGTACTCCTAGAAACATGCATAAATACATTTTCTATCAAATAGCATTTAAAAATTTAGAAATAATCGCTCTCAGCAAGTGATTTAAAAACTAAAGAGATTAAGAATCCTATTAGATTCCATATCTCTATATGACACATATATTTTTAACATTATTAATATATGTCAATCAATTGATAGTTGATATTTAGAAAAATAATATATGTATATTGATTGTTCATTATCATTATTAGTATAATATTTATTGAATCGCGGATTGATTTTAAAAAAAATATGATTTTTGAAAAATATAAAATAAGATTTATTTTTTCGCATTGTTGTTTTGATTATATAAAAAATATATATTTTGTTCGAGATTTGATACATATTTGATGAAAATATTTATATTGAATTGAAATCAAGATTAACCAAAAAAAAATCGAGAATAAATCTAAATTGAGAAATATTTAAGTGATAAATATTGAAATACTGTTTAATTAATTGAAAATAAAAGGAGATATATTTTAATGGTGCCGACCGACCAGGATACGAACACTTATTAGGGAAAAATAAGAAAATTTAAAAAAAATAGTGAATATTTTGTGAAGAGAATTTTAGACATTATAAAGGAAGAACTATTTCTAGGACCGGGTTCCTCAAAATAATAGTAATTCCGGATATATATATAAAGGTAAGAAATTTTGTTTTTTTTGAATTATAAATTAAACACAACGCAATTTAAAAAGTTTTTTTTTTTAAATTTAATTTTTTTAGGATTTAAAAAAATTTATTTTTGATATAAATTTATGAAATCATGGTTTATCCTTTTATTACTGTGCATAGGAAGCCTGATTTTAATAAAATTTCGATTTATAAGAATAATTTTAATAAAATTTTTAATACAAAATTTAATGAATTGAATGTGACCAATAGTGCGGTTACAGCTTTCATTTTTTTTATATTGTATATATTATTAATTGGTTTCAGACAATTAATTTATAAAATTAAGAGAAGATCAGTGACAAAAAAATAATTAAATTAGGTGATCTAAATAGTAATAAATCTTTAGATATTTCTGAGGATATCAAAAATAGTTTACATTTAATTTTATTAGAATTAAAAAATTTAAATGGTAAAAAGATTGTTATACCGGAAGAACAATCAGAGAAAATATTATATACGGGTGAAGTATTTAATTTTCCTCAAAATATTGACATATTGGAGGATATAAATAAAAAATTAAATTCAATTGTGATAGAATTTAAAAAGCAAATATCTGAGGTTTTAATCGAGAAACCAGTAAAAATTTTGAAAAATAATAATAAAAATAATACTTTGAGACAAAGTACCGAGGAATCTCTAATGTTAAGTGAAATTAGAGAAATGAGAGAAAATATGAAAAATTTGTCCAGAGAAATTTCCAACTTAAAAATTAAAAATAATCATATGATTGAAAGTTGTGAACTTTGTGGAAGAAAAGGACATGTCGGTAAAAATTGCTATTCAAGAGATCGAAAAATCAATGTGAATGTCACTGCAAAACCAAGTGAAAAAAATGACATAGTTTGTCATAGAAGTGGTTTTGCGGAACATATAAAGCGAAATTGCATGGTGAAAGAAGCCAATTTCAAAAGTGGATTTTCTCAACGAACATCGGTAGTGATAAATCCAGTGGTTCGAAATATACAAAATCCTAGTGTTATAAGTGTGGATAAAAAAGAAATATATATTACAGATAATGATCGAATGTGTTTCAGATGTGAGGAATTGGGACACATTGCAATACATTGTATTCAAAGTGTGAGTGGGCAGTGACTATATGATTTGAAAGAGAATCATATAAAAATAAATAAATTATATTTAGAGAATATTAAATTTTGTGATATATATGGTTTTATTAAAAATTTTGTGGATATATATAGTAAAATAGATAATCATTATGGGAATGATTTTTATACATTGAAATTTAACTCGAATAAAAAGTGTTGTAATGTAGGAAATTTTTATTGTCATTTTGATGAAAAAATTTCAAATTAACCAATAATTTGAATAAAAAGGATTATAGTAATCAAACAAGTGAGAAATATCCATGGGAGATTTTTAATAAAAACATAAATGAGATTCAGAAATTTTTAAATTCTGAGATGAATTTAGGTATGAATATTAATTATAGTGAAAATGAGATTCAAATAAATACTATTCAGCCGATTATAATGCATAAAAATTTAATAACTAGGGGAGTAAAGGAACAGAGTTCATGTCCTCGTATTAATTTAAAAATTGGTGGACAAATGGTTGATATGTTATTTGATACCGGGGCAAGTATTTCAATCATGTCTTGTGAAAATTTTTATAAATATTGGCCTAAAGATAGTATTGAAAAAATAAATATATGTATAAAACAATTTGATGGATCTGAAATCAAAGTTTTGGGTAGAACTCAGTGGGATTTTCTTTTCCATGATATTCCTATAATTTTGGATTTATGGATAGTGGGAAAAAATGTTGAAACAATTATGGGTTAGGATTGGATTATCAAACTTGGACCTAGAAATAATTATTAGGATTTATTTATCATTGATAGCGAATTAGAGATAATGCTGAAAGAAAAATAATGACTATTAAAGTCAGGGAAAAGCTTAAAGAAAGGGAAAGGAATAAATTAATGAGTGAAGTGAAAGAATCTATAGTTAATAATAATATTTGTGAATATCTAGCAAAATTATAATAGATTCAAATCAATCTAAGATCAATAGTGAAGTTGATCATGATAAAAAATTAATAATGAAATTAATGAATTAAATAGAGTTGAAAATGCTATACCTATTTTAGTTGAAAAATATGATATAATTTTTGAAGACACTTTGGGATGTCTAAATGATTATCAAGTGGATTTAAAATTAAAAGAGGGATTTTCACCTATTTTCTTAGCATGTCGTAGAGTTCCTTTTGAGTGGAAAAAGGAAATCAACGAAAAATTAGATAAATGGGTTAATGATGGTATTATTATTCCATTGGAATATAGTGAATGGGCTACACTATTAGTACCAGTTAAAAAATCTAATGGAAAACTTAGATTATGTGCAGATTTTCGAGTAACACTTAACAAATGGATTGTGAAAGTGAAATATTCATTACCTCGAATTGATGAAATTTTGGAAAATTTAAAGGGAGCCAAATATTTTTCAAAAGTTGATTTTTCATCAGCATATTTACAATTGCCTTTGAAAGAATAAATTCGTAAATTGTTGACAATAACAACGCCTAAAGGATTATTTGCGTTTTGTAGATTACCTTTTGGGTTAAGTGTATCTGCACCGATTTTTCAGAGAACAATGGCATCAGTTTTTCAGGGTTTGGATGGTGTATTTTATTATATGGATGATGTGTTGATAACTGTGACGCCAGAGCAACATAATCAACGTCTTGAAGAGGTTTTCAAGAGAATTCAAGATAAAGGTTTAAAAGCCAGTAAAGAGAAATGTATTTTTGGTGTCACCGAAATAGTATATTTGGGT